TGCTCCTCCAACAGCAGCTCTTTCACAGTCACGTGAGAGGCGGCTCTAAGCTTTTCTCTGTTTGTGATGTCACAAATGGGGGCTTTCTTGAAACAGCTTTTTAGACACATGATTCCTAAGTCAAACACTTTGAAACAAATGAATCGCTAAAGTTTTTTCATGTTTGGAAAGTTTATAGAGTCAGTAGAACCCACATAACAGCACAAAAGGACGTCAAAGGTGAGTTTTGCATCGTATGTCTCCTTGAATTGATATCTACTGCTAGATAGTTTGTTTTAACCTGGTTCACTTCGACTCTGCTTTTTACCTGATATTTAACTATCCAATCTAAGTAGATTGAAATTGTTTGTTCTCTTCCACAATCAGTTATTAAGGCACAAATGCCATTTATCTTTTTCAGTTAGTTTAGACGTAGCACACGGCTTTCTGGTTTTCATCCAATAAGAAAGTGCCAAGACTTAATTAGGTGGTGACCCAGGAAGGGTTGCCCTTTATTAGATTGTAAGCAAAAGCTCATTGGATGCTGTTCAGAGAGCCCAAGCATGTGTGTTCCTGTACCACTTTCCTGTTTTTCTATATAAATCAACTTAAATTGCAGGTATCAACTCATATTCTGTATTTACTTTGTTTACTACTCAAAGTAATCGCTCTAAGGCAGGGATCCTCAACTAAATTATTTTTGCTCAAGGGCTGACGTTTTTTCCAGCAGACTGTGAGGGCCAGATGCTCTTCTAAAATAAAGTGCACGTATTATTATTATCTTAAACATCTTTTGTACATTTATTCTGTGCATTTCATCTAACTGCATTATTTGATTATTTAGTCTACCACAGCAACAGAGTTGTTTTTACCTTGTTTTTCTGGGGTTGGACTAACACTGCAGTCTTCTTCAGAGCATGCCATCGGCGAGGAGAGCACGTGCAGCAGAGGACGATGCCGCCCTCTGCTGCCTGCTGATAAACGGAGAAGGAAGTGATGCCACCATCAGCGGCGAAGCTCTGCGGAAGACTACAGTGTTAGTCGAAACGTCAGCAAAATCAAAGGAACAAACAACACTTTTGCTGTGTTAAAAACAGAACCAGGCAATGCAGTTATTGTATCTTAATTTCTTCATATTTAAAATGGATTTGTTTTGCATCTAAACTGTGTTAATTGTAGTTTTAGACGTGTTTGAAGAATGTAAACGATTATTGACTTTTGGAAGTTGAATTTGCTGCTAAACTTCAAAGTCCCCCGGGGGGGGGGGGGGGGGGGGGGGCATTAGGGCCTGAAAGGTTGGGGGGCTAGGTAGAAAGATCTGGCGGGCCGGGACGCCAGTTGAGGTTCACTGCTCTCAGGTTGAGTTTTCTGGCCTTTCCTTCCTGGAAAGGATGTAGTGGCTGGACTGAGGGAACCACACAACAATTTTTAAGACAAAGGGTTCTACTCTAGTTTGACTGGAGAAGTACATACTTACATTGAGTCAAACTTTATGTTAATGAGTAAGATGTTATATTATATTATATTATATTATATTATATTATATTATATTATATTATTGTCATGTTCTGTGTCCCTGTGGTCCCCAGTCCCCTCCAGGTTTCTTCTCAGGTTCCCTTCTAGTCACTCCCCGTAGTTTTCTACAGGTGTTCGTTATTCTCCTTTAGTGTGTGTTTTCCTTCTCCACTTGTTTGTTTCTCCCTCACTCCTCAGGTCTTTAGTTATTTATGTTTTGGTTCTCCTGTGCCCCGAGTCTTTTAGGTTTATTTATGTAGTCTCATAGGTTCATAGGTCTCATAGGTTGTAGGGAATAGGCTTATCCCCCTCTGCTTAGTTTTCCCTTCCCATTTGGTTTATTGATTTCATCAGGCTCTCCTCTGGTGCTCTCTCCCCACGCACCTGCTGCTTGTTTCCTAATCACCCAGCCCCTGTGTATAAAACCCCGTCTTGTCTCTCAGTGTGTGTCGGTCCGTTGTCGTTGTCAGTGTTGTTCTGTTCCTCCTCGTGAAACTCTAGGTTTTGCTCATCAAAGAGCTTTTTTGTTTTTGTCATTCGGGTTACTGACTTTAGGCTTGGCTTCCTGCCCTTTCTTGGATTTTTGGACATTGACTCCTAATAAAAGGATTTTACGTTTTACTACGCTCCCGCTCCCGCCTTGTGTCGTCCTGGGTTTCGGCATCTTGGGCCCTGACCTCCTCCTGGCTCAAATGTGACAATTATATTATATTTCAGCTAGAAGACTACACATTACACCAATTCTCCGATCCGCACACTGGTTGCCGGTCCAATTCCGGATTGATTTTAAATGCTTCTTTAAGTTTTTAAGTCTCTGAATGGCCAAGCTCCTTCTTACCTGAGTGCGCTGCTCCACCGCTACCACCCTCCGTGTGCCCTGAGGTCTGAGGATCAGCTCCTCCTCACGGGTCCTAAGGCACTCTTGAAGTCCCGTGGTAAAAAGGCCTTCTCTGTATGTGCACCAAAACCATGGAACTCCCTACCCCTCCATGTTAGGTTGGCGCCTTCAATGGCAGCTTTTTAATCTTGAATGAAAACACACTTTTTCTCTCTGGCATTTAACTCTCAAATCTAAAACTTAAATCTGGTTCCAGTATAAAATCTATTGGTTTACCTCCATCCCATTGATCGCTTCATTTTACTTCTGTTTATTTTAAGGATTTTAATTGCCTGTTTGGTTTTTAGTCCTTTCTTATTAAACCTGGTTTTAGTATTAAGCCTATAGGTTTGTCTCCTTTCCGTTTTCTTGCCAACATTTGTGCATTTTATGATTGAATTGGTTTTAGTTCCTCTTTTTAACTGTACGTCTTTTCAAATGTTATAATTTAGCTGGTTGTTGTTGTTGCGCAGCACTTTGGACAGCTGCTGCATGGTTGTGTTGAAAGCGCTAAACAAATAAAATGTATTCTATTTGTGCATCTGTAGTTGTCAGAAAAGAATCCTAATTTTGAAGCATGAACAAAAAGATGTAATATGATATGTTACAATAAAAATATTTTTGGTTTGACTTGTTTTATTTTTCAAAGCTCTTTTTAGTAACAGGTGTTTAACTAATGCAGTTTAAAGAGCAAGTCACCCCCTACAAGAAATTACTCCACTCCCATTTCATGTTTGAAAAATGCAACAAACGCGGTTGCCTGGCAGACTGAGAGGGCGGAGCCGCCAACAAATGCACACAGACAGGCACTGTGACATCATAATGTACCATCTAATGTCATTGTGTACCTCTTAGCCAATAGAGGTGGCAGATTTCAATTCAAATGTAGTGCTGAGTTTTTACCTGACGACGGTGCAACACTGACAGTTTTAGGCAGAATATTTAAATTTTAACTAACGCCGGGGACACACCGGCCGCGGAAGCGCCAAGAAGCGAATCGCTCATGAAATTCGGCCGCTGCTCGCCGCTCCTCAGTTCAGATCAGACGCGCCCCAGTCGAGGCGCACCTCGGCTCAGCTGTAGTTTTTCTTTTAAACAGTTGGTGTCCTCCATTTCCTCTCTGCCTTTTCTCAGCTCTTTTCCTCTACGTTTGAGTGTTTGTACGTGTGTGTGTGTGTGTGTGTGACTGTGTGTATCTGTGTGTGTGTGTGTGTGTGTGTGTGTGAACCTAAGGTATGAGTTGTTTCTGCCAGTTGAATCTCTTGGAACCCGCTCCAATTCTGCAGCTGTATCCTAGCAGTCTCTTCCTAAATGGGTACGTAAATAATCATGTTTTTCGGGGGTCGTACAGCTCCTTGTGTTTCTCAACTTCCATAATTAATTTAAAGTCATCCATCTTAACTGCTTGCCTCAGACTTTCTGCCTCTCTGTCCTGTTTGCTCCGGTGAAAAGACACCCAAAACCACACCCCCCCTTCACGTGGTCACAAACGCACACAAGTTCGATGTGTGTGTGTGTGTGTGCGTGTTCGTGTGGTTTTTCTGCAGTGTCTGTTTACGAACACATTTGACTATTGTGGAATTTTATTTTGAAATGCTTTATTTTGTTAACTTTACCGGCCTGCCTCTTATGTCTAGGTTTGACTTCCTGCCAGAATTGACGCGATTCACCCGCGGCACACGAAAAAAATAGAGCCGACGCCGAAAGGATCGCTGCACGGCGCGGGCTGGAGCGCCGGCGCGAGGTGATTCGCGGCGCTTCGGCGGCCCATGTGGTCTATAGAATAGCTTAACAAGGGCGCCGAATGAAGGCGATCCCATTTTCACGGTGCTTCCGCGGCCGGTGTGTCCCTGGCGTTAGATGCACTAAAGTGCTGAATTATTGACTTCATGTGTGTACAGCACGGTTAGACACTCATTTATATCGCTTATCAGCAAAAAAAAAAAATGTTGATTTGGGGTGACTTGCTCTTTAATGATTGAAACAATTAAAATACTCAAGTTGGAATTGTCTGTACTGAAACAATTGAATTTCACTCTGGGATTAATAAAGTATTTTTGATTTGATTTGAAAGAAAAATTTTGTCAGTTCAGAAACAGCTGAGAAAGTTTTACCTTTGAAGAACTTACTAGTCTATGACTGCATGAGCTAAAACTGCAAACTTTATGAATAATGTATCATGACGGTAGAGATGTGGGTTTTTCATAATTTATGCTTCTGTTCATCGCCCCAGGAATCAGGATTTAAAAATGAATCAGCTAAAAAAAACAATTTTTTCCCAAATATTTCCAAGTTTCAATATAAAAATCATTGCTTTTTTCCCATAAATTTATCAAAATCATAATTTGATCAGATATTGTATAATTCTCTATGTTAGTGAGTTGTGTTTGTTCAAATACCTTTAGAGAAATAAACCAGAGAAGCCTTTGCTATATATATATATATATATATATATATATATATATATATATATATATATATAATCAACCAGACCAGAAGAACTTGTTTTATGTACACATTTATATTTATAAATACACTGTACAGATTAAAAAATAAATAAATAAACAGCTGATATTCAACATTGTGCACCCCACAGATGTGTGAATTCAAAGAGAAAAGGGGGAGTGAAACTGGAAGGGGGGAGGGGGGGGGGGTCAGTGGTACCAACGACAGACAGATATCAAACAACCCCGGTAAATACTCATCTTTTTTTTTTTACATACAGGGCACATCACGATTATTTTTACAGTTTCTAAATGAAAGTGTTGCTGGTTAACCTCTCTTTATTTTCAAGCGAGGAATGCACCCAAAACAGAACCGTGGGCTTGTCCAGAGTGTGGTTTTCAGCCAGCGAGGAGCTTGTCTTTTTAAATTTCATATCCCAAACCCTGACTTATTTTTGTGGAATACGTAGGTTGCATTGATTTACGTGACTTTCAGAAAGTCTTTGGAATGTAATGCTTAGTCAGCAGCATTCAGAATAATCCCCTGCTCACCACACAGGGCCATCGGGACAGACAGATGACTCTGTTCCTGCTTATTTTGGGACGTTCCAACACTCTGCTCTGAGCCGAGAGCTAAAGCTGATGCAAAGGTGTGATGATTATCTCACATCTCACTTTATTTTTTTTTAACCCACCCCTCCTCCTTTCTGACGCTCGAAGTGGGAGCACATATGGTGGAGAGCAAGGCGCGTTAGGGTCGACAAGGTGCACACAGAACAGGAAGCATGTGTGCACGGTGGGGGAGATTTGGGTGTGAGCCAGCTGAGATGATAAGGCGCCACCTTTTTGTGTGTTTTTTTAATTTTAAACCAGATCACATAAGGTTGTGCAGGATTAAATGTGAACCTCTGGTGTTTGACGGTCAAATAGAAAACAGCTCACATGTCAGAGATTTGCTTCTAAAGCTGAACCACACATAAAAAACCAAAAACCCGGCTATGAAGAGAGGTTTGTTCCAGCTTTTGCTTTCCAAAAAGTGTAGCGAGTCTTACAAAACTGAAAATCTTCAAAAAAAAAAAGAACATTTAAATTCAGAATAAAAAAGGGTAAACAATGCTGCTCTGTGTTAAACCGGCTAACCAAAAAGCTAGCACAGACGCACACACCGGGATCCACAAAAAATACAATCACACAAAGTAAAACCCAAGTATTGACACTCACACACAGCGCAAACACACATCCAGTAGACATAAAACACACAGCGGAAAGTACTCCCCTCCCTTCAGATATTATTACTCCCATTTCTTTTCATTCATTTGATCAATACGTGCTTATATTGAGCTGGATGGAGGTCACACTCAGGCAGTAAAACAAAGACCTACAGACCAACCTCTGATTTCAGTCACTAAAGCCAGTCTAGTCATTTGCTGGATTCTGTGCATTAAGGCACAGTTCAGTGCATTTATATGCAGGACAGCTCTTTAAAGTTATTACCTCATCAGGACTCACAAGCTTTTTAACACTCGTCAGTTCACTCAAATTACAAAAAAAGGTCAAAAAGAGGTTCCTTTTACATTTTGCTTCCTTATTTTCCTGAGCAGTTTGATCACACAGAGTTCATTCAGCTCTGCCAACCTTCAAGTGTTCAGGTTCCAACTTGCACAAAGTGGCTGTAATCACCTTGATTTAAGAAGAACACTGGACCTCAACAACAAAAATATTCAAAACAAGAAATAGGGGACCTCCAGCTTCCTGTCAGAGAAAACAAAAAGATGTTTTATCATTTAATTTCTGGTGGCAGCTTGCATTTATCTTCCAACCAGATGGGTTGTTGTTAGATGCACATGACTACATTCACATAAGAACCATCTGCGTCACCAGATTTATCAAACTGAGCAGCTACTTTCAGCTTTTTTTTGTGTTGCTTTGGCTTTTGATTAAACTTGCTCAAAAAAAGCTCACCAGTTCTTGGTGGAAGGAGAAAGATCTGATTATTTCTGAATGTTATTTGCAGGTTTTAATGCATTAAAATGATTTAATTTCACATTATGCTATAAAAATGAAACAGTTTCACAAATGTATTATTGCAACTTCCCCAGGAGATTGCCTCACGTTCTCATATTCAGGTAATCTTTGCAACAGTCCTTATACTTTATTGCTAATCATCTAACATTTCTATTAGTCTCCATAAAAACATTCCATCTCTGTTTCAAAACGCAGCAATTTCATGATTTTACAGTTTTTGGTTTTGTTTCAACAACTCTGTAATTAAACATTCTGACATAGTTCTTATTTTTTTTAAAGAAAGCTGTTATTAGAAAGTCGGGAAACCTTTATTGAGTTTTGTATGAAGATCTGTGAACAACCTTAGCTTGCAGAAACACAGATTAGTTGCTCTCTAACACCTAGTCACATGGGGACCAGTAAGAGTTCTGAAACAATTCCAACTGCAAAATGACTGAAGTTTACACAAATAAAGTTTTATTATCTTTACATCGCCAAAAATGTCCTAATTCATGATTTTGCGGCAGAAATGCTACAGCAGATAAGTTCTGCTATAAATAGCTACATAAATCTTCGTAAATAAACATGTAATTGGAAAATTCATGGTGCTGTAAAACACTATGAAGGCGTTAAGAGTCACATCTTGTGGTTACTGCAGCTTGCAGCCACCACTCTCTTCCTTTCATGAGTTTCATGCCGGTTGCCAGTTATGGATCAGTGCCAGAAGATTCTGAATGATGTGTCATACACAGTAAGTTGATGCGTAGGAAAAACATTTCACTGTAATATTGTTGGTAATAAAAAAAAATTAGATATTTTTGAGTATTTTTTTCAGCTTCCCCGATAGCATTGTTAGCTCAACGTTATGTTGTGGATTCTTAGGCGTACAAGAAATAACTTCTGAATCGCTTATTTTACTGGCTTCCATTCTGACCACAACGCTGCGGCTAGTTGCTGATTTGTGTCAGACTATCAATGCCGGTGCAGCAGTGTCTGTGCGCAACCTGAAGAACTTGCATATTGTTGGCTCTGGAACCAGGAAGTTTGGAGGCAGGAAAGATTGTAAACAAAGCTGTGTCTCTTTGTGGCCTTTTAAAAGGAGAAAAACTGGCAACCCACGTGCTTGGCCACGCCCGTGTTACTGAGAGGGCTCTGTAGACACAACCAGGCCACACAAGGGCAACCTGTCCCCACCTGGCCCGGGCCGAGCTGCCTAAAGTGAAAATTAGAAAAGAGAAAAACTGACCCCCCCCCCCCCCCCCAGCTGGTTGAGAAGGAATTTTGTTTCAGTGTAACTATTTTTCCAACATGATTGAGAAACGAAACTCTTTCGTGATATTCCACAGTAAGTTGTGACGGATGGCCACAACTTACTAGCTGCTTACACTGAGCCAGGATCCTCTGCAGGTTTCTTCCTGTTAAAAAGGAGTTTTCCTCTCCACTGTCTCTACATGCTTGCTTAGCACGAGGATTGCTGTAAAGACACTGACACTAGTCAGTGCCTCGACGCGACCTGCTGAGTTCCTTTTTTAAGGAACTTTTTACTGATAAGCTTGATGAACTGAACTGTATTGGAGTTCAGTTCGCTGTGTGAAGTGCCTCGAGACGACTCTTGTCGTGATTTGGCGCGATATAAATAAACAGAATTGAATAAAACGCTTACTTATTGCATCTTCAAAGTGAAACTTTCACATGGCAGAAATATTTTTAAACTGACCGCATTTGTTAGCTCAGCTACCTGGTCAGAACTAATCTCTGTTTTTCCAAACTGAGGCTTCTCAAAAAGATATTTACATAGAAAGGGTAGAATACTAATAGTTGTGTGACAGAACCCTACTTCATGAGATATAAGCCATTCTCAAGCTGTTGTGTGAGTCACAATCTTATCTGATTTTAATGGTAATTTATGCCATTATACCAACATCTTTTTAATCAATTGTTATTTTCATAACCTAATGATGTACAGAGCTTTGGTTAAATTTTCTTATTCGATTGCAATGTGACTGAATTCTGTGTTGTAATAATCCTTAAAATATACAGTAGAAAATGTTGAAATGAACAAAAAAAAAAAAGCTTGAAAAGTTAAATCTGCTCAATTTTCACCTGGTCAACTGGAAAATGTTTCATCTAGACTCTATGAATCTCTGTGGTAGAACAGCATACTTTATCAGAACAGATACATAAACTTTACTTATAAAAATATCTATTTTGTACAAAATAGCAAAACACTTCTGAGTGTAATTTGAGTGGACTGACTCCAATTTCAGCTATTTTCATCATTATTATAAATAATAATCACACACATACACACAATAACCCAAAACATGGCAGATGATTTTTCTGTCTGGAAGAGCGATTTGATTCTCTAATTTCTTTGAAATAAATAAATAAAAGAAGAAAACATTTCACTCTTTTCTTTATTCCATGAGGATTTTTCAACACTTGCCTCGTTCGACCAGAGTTAATTGTTCATTTTTGTACCCTTTTTTCTGTTGCAGGACATCATTTAGGATTACGACACATCACCCACATCACGCACAGACGACAAAGGGCTCCGGCTTAGGGAGAATCGTTACAGTGGTTGAAGCAAAAAGTGAAAAAGATCACAAAAACAAAGTGAGTTCCAGTCAGTTTTAAGTGTAGTCCATCACTTTTCCATGACCTGTGTCAGTTTTCCTGATTTTCCAGGCATTTAGTTGGTGAGGAGGATCGGTAGTGAAGGTGGAAGGAGCAGAGTGGGAGCTCCGTATTGCAACATCAGGTGTGAGTGGAACCAGGGTCTCGCGGGGTCGGTGACATCAACACTCCTACTGGATCACAGTCCATCTTGCTGCCTCACAGGAAGTTTTGACTATCGGTTTGTTCCATTTGTGGTTGGAAGTTTGTATTTGTAAAGCAGCAAGAGACTCTGCTCTGAGGTTAGGACTCCAGGAATGGCTGACACGATGGAAGAAAGATTGAGACATATCCTGAAAAAAAAGTTCATACAAAGAGGGGCACAGGGAAGAGAAGACATCAAAGACGTTTTTAAGTTCAGACAAATAGATATGAAGGAGTCGGGTGGAGATCAGATCTCGACAGCGGGGTGAAATTTAAGGGTGGGGAATATCAAAGAGGCCTGAGAACAAAGAGATGATAGATGAGCTACAGCCCAGCGCTGCGTTTAGGGAGACGTGGTGTGTGCTCAGAGAGGCTGAGGCTGACTTCTGAGGGGGGAGAAGAAAATACTTTGGGCAGTTTTGCTGCTGGGCCCCTTTAGGCTTTGAGAGAGTGCCACTGGGCCACGGCGGAGCGAGGGTGACTTATCATGTCCTTCCAGTGTTTTACCTCAGCGGGGCCACTCTTCCATGAAAGATAAATCTGTGAGAAACAAAGAGTTGATTCAGGTCCTTTATTATTATTAAAGATTGATTTTATTTTTACAGTAAAGGTAAAATGGTAAGTTTTCAGGTCAAAAAGCAGCCTTCGTTTCACAGTAATACAGTCTCCTGGCGAAGCAGCAATCCAGAGTTTCCCCCCTTTCAGGAATTATGCTAGCCTGGCGAGCCATCCTGTAAATGTGACTATATGGTCTGGCCACAAGGCATAGATCGGTCATGGGGTGGGATCTACGGTGTCTTTCAAACCGTCTCTGCATGCTGGACAATGAGCAATGTGACACACTCACAGCTACAGATGTCAGTCAACAGGGCAGTGGGCCATACACCGTTGATGAAGATGCAAATACAAGCTTTTTCTCAGTAAAGGACTTAAGTACCTCTATCTGCTCTGGACTCAAAGAAAAGCCCAAGTCTAAATAGTCCAAAGTTGATGCCAAAACAGTTTGAAACGAGCCGCCATCATCTTAGATTCGCTCAGTCGCCGCAACATCTAGACCACCAAACCAAATGCTGTGATTGGCAAGATACAGAACTGCTCAGGCCAGTGGTAGACCTGCTGAGGCTGCAATTGATCATGACTAGATCGACCTGGAGAGCAAAATCCTTCAGCTACTTTTTTGGTTGGTTAAGATTTCTAGTCTATGATGTAGGATTTCGTAGAAATCCATAAAAGTGAGTCTTATGCGTTGAATTGAACGCTGCTCATTGGCCAACAACGCTCAACATCAGCTCACGTACAGACGATGGTCACAGAGCATGTGCGCGTTTGCGGAAGTACCTTGACTGAAGCAGAGTTGGCGACATTTCTTATGGACAAGTAAAGCCTGGTTTATGCTTCTCCGTCAGCTCCGCAAGGGACAGACACGCACGGATTGACGGAGGCGTTTTGCTCTTTTACTTCTCCGTCTCCTGGAAAGTGTTGCAAAGCAATTACCCGGCAAGACCACAGAGGGTGTAGCGCTGTTCTGTGATATCCTGTCATGTATCCGGTCCAAGATCGTGTGTTTATATTGTGTTTTTGTGTATATAAGATACTTTTAACATGGACATATTTGTCTCTCATTCTCCCAACGCTTCATGCGCTCCCCACCTCTAAACCCACGTTTCCTGTCATTTCCGTCCACAAATAAAACGCTTGCTGCGCATCTTTTCACTCCTCCAATCACGGGAGAATTAAACGTTCATATTTTTAGAGTTTTTTCGCGAGGTATTCTTCAAGCTTCTCCGTGTCTGCCGCTAGTTATCCTCGGCTCTCTTTGCAATGGCGGCGCTGTAAACAACAGCGGCGTCCTGACCAATCACAAGCTTGCGTAATCCGTCTCGTTCGACGGATGTTTAAAAAAGTGGGCTCGACTCCGTACGTACTTGCGTGCCTGCCGGAGCCCTACGCAACGATGGATAATGGCGTTGCTTGTCTCCGCACTGACGCAGACGGAGAAGCATGAATCAGCCTTAAGTCTTTAAAGGCCAGGTTCACTGAGAAATTATTTTTTACTTATTCATTTTGAAAATCAGCAACTAAGAGTTCCACATGCAGGTGGAACATGAAAACAGTCCTCTACCCCTGTTTACTGCATTAGCTTGTGATAGACAACAAACAGAAAAACACTTGGTTCAGAAAGTCCTGACAGGTCTACGTCACGCTGCCACTTAACATTCATGGGCTCAACCATCTTGACTTGTGACGGGGAAGGCTGTTGTTAGGTTAGCATCCAGGAAACAGCAGAAAACATCTCAATTAGTAGAAGCTAACCATTGGCATTAGCAACTCCACCATATGGCCGAACTCGTCCAGGCTTGAGTTATTTGTGGAGATAAATAAAACCATGATAAAGAATAACATGTATATTAGTTAGATTATAATAGTTGTAACACAAAACAATGCGTATTAGCGCTGCCGCCCAGCTAGAGGTGCGCATTCACAAATTAGAGGGGCTGCATTCAGCCGGAATCACGGAAGCAAGGGGAGGGGTTCAAGGTGCAATACATTTTCCTGCCTCTAGATGGTGCCCCTTGACAAAAAAAACTCTGGATTTCTGCTTTATGTCCATAAAACATGAACATTTTATAAATGTATCTGTATAAACAAGTGTGAGAAAATAGCAAGTATAAAACAACAGCTGGTTAAAAGCAGATAGGATAGTTTAAACATAAAACACCCAAAGTTACAATGGATGTAAACAATAAAGTAAGTAAGTAAAAGTTTATTTATATAGCCCATCAAATGATGTAAAGATCAATTTAGATGCTTTTTTTGCAGAATTATTGCGCAAATAAAAAAATGTGCATTTTTTTATTTTTTGTCAAGAACATATGAAGTCAGAATTAGGAAAATGTTCAATGCTGAATTTAATTTGTTCTGGTTTATGATATATATTAAATTATATGAATGGTTTATCAGAAAAATTAAAGAAATGGGGCAAATAAAAGCTATTTAATGTTTGATTAACTCCTTTATAAAATAAATAACAACAGAAACAACAACAATAGATAATCTTAATAAAATCTGGGAATCATGTACACATTATCCTTCATTTAAGCCACATTTGTTATTTTATTTCATTGTGGTCAAAAGGCATTTAGTGATTTGCTTCATTTTATTTACTTCTTCCAGTAGGGGTCAGTAGAGACTGATTAATTTATTAGATGCTATCAGCCTGTCAGAGTCACAGAAACACAGAGGAGGAGGAGAAGAATCAGGAAGAGGCGTAGAAGAGAGGGAAGGAGATACCTTTCCAATGACATCATTGCGACTGAGTCTGTCCTTGTCCATGACGGTGATAATTATGGTGGTCTCCCTCAACACGTGGGCAGGCACGTCAAAGGGGAAGGACTCATTGAAAACGGGGTTCAGACAACGCTTCATTACCACAGTCTTCTTCTTCTCCACGCGTTTGTCTTTGTGCATCAACCATACTTTTACGTAGGGGTCTGAGATAAAAGCAGACATGTCAGGTTTCAATGACGTTTTTCTCTCCCATTTCATGTTTTATGGATTGAATTATATTTCACAAAAGAGAAAGATAAAGAAAATCTAATTTTGATTGGAAATAATTCTGAGGAAGGACATTAAAGACTGGCCAAGAAAAACAAAGAGACATTCATACCAGAAGTGCCTCCTATGTCCATGGCTTTAAGATTGCGTGCTTTGATGATGCTCACAGTGATGGTGTTGGCTGTAGGATTGTAGCACAGGGACACCAAGAGATCCCCTCGGCTCCCCTGTGAAAACAAAATAAAACAAAACATTTTTATTTTGTCGCCTACTGCGTATTTCTGTTTCCCTCTCCGAAGTGTCTGTTTTCTCCATCTACCTGTCGGCCTCGCCATATTTCCTCCCCCTCTCCCATCATCATCATCATCATCATGCTGCCACATCTCCCACGAGAGCATCACAGCAGCCAGAAATGACATCACCTACTCTTTCCCATCTTCTCTTCCCCTTCATCTTCACCTCCCTCCTCCCTCTCCTCTGCTTCCCTTTCCCACTTTGCTCCCCATGCTTACACTGCCATCGCTACACGGTTTCAGCTCCTTCCAGAATGTCTGCATGTTGGCCAGGTCCAGCTTGTTGAGAGGTATGGACACCTCTCCTATCGGGTCGTTCCTGCTGAACCGGTCGTAGTCGAGAACCTGCAGGTACAGAGTCCTCTGGACCACCTTCTCATAGGGGAACCCTGAGGAACAAATGAACACAACATGTCACAGAGACGCAAGCACAATGTGCGTAGACAGGGAACAAAATCTTTAACAATCATACCCTCAAACAGGAAGGTCTCGTTCCAGTGGGGGTTCAGATTCTTTCTCTTTACTTTAGTCTCTAGTTTGTGTTTCTTGTCTGGCAACAGGTAGATTTTGACGAATGGATCGGAAGTGCCAGAAAAATCTTTTGCAGGTAGATCCTGGCCTTTGAGAATTTTAACGGTGAGGGTTGAGTCTTGAAAACTGTATCCAACGCTGAACTGAATACGACCCAGTTTCTCACAAACCGGACCCTCATGTTCATCCTCCTCTGAACCTGGGGACAACTGACACACAGGAGACACTGTTTTCTTAGGTGGTTGGTGTATCATAGAGATTTGTCAGTTATCTACAAAAAATTGTTCTTAAAGCAGAAATCTGGAGTTTTACTCCTTTCAGGAGTTATGATCATTTTTTTTAATCCATAAAAGTGCTAGCCTTACTTTGTACCATGGAAAAAGATTAGCTGTATTGCCTACATTCGTAGCCTACCTGCCATCTCGTACAGCTCAGTGTAATCTGAAATGAGCGCTGCTCAGCATTAGCCAATAGTGTTGCACGTCCGCTTATGCCACTGCGGAAGTACCTAGACTGATGCAGAGTTGGCAACACTTCTAATGGACACAGCCCATAGGAAGAATTTATACCCACATTCTGATTAAACAGCATTATGTGAGAATAGTAACTGTAAAACAATGTGTTTTAGCTCTGTTGCCCAGCTAAACGAGTGCGTTTGCAAACGAGGTGTCGCTTACAGCTGTAAATAATTTAAAGCTTCTTTCTGGAGTATTTCTGTTATCCAATGACACCATCTACCTGCACGGTGGCGCAGTGGTTAGCACTGTTGCCTCGCAGCACGAAGGTTGCAGGTTCAAAACTCGGCTGCGGCCTTTCTGGGTGGAGTTGCGTGTTCTCCCCATGCATGCGTGGGTTTCCTCCGGGTACTCCGGGTTCCCCCACAGATCACAACATGCCCTATAGGTTATAAATTGTAAGTCGCTTTGGATAAAAGCGTCTGCCAATAAATAAACATAAACATCTAGTGGCTGACAAGCGTATCACCCAAAACCGCTGTTCCTCTGTTTTTTTAAGATGGCGACTTCACGTTTCTGTTTATAAATGTGCTTCTGTAGCCGACAAACAGCTAAAACACATTGTTTTAGGAGTATTATTCTTATGTCATGTTGTGTTTTCATGTATTTATATTTTAGAGACTTTCTTATCCGTGAAAAGTTCATCAACTCTGCATCAGCCGAGGTATTCCTTAAATTTGAAGAGTCTAAGCGGTAGTCTAACGCTATTGGTTAGTTCTGGTCGGCGCTCAGTTTCCTATTGCACGGAGCTCTGCGGGACAGGGGGCGTGCTTACAAAAAAAAGACGTATTGCTTATATTATATCACAGCACATGATACGATAATCACTTTTACGGATTTCTGACAAATCATACATAATTTCTGAAAGAGGAAAACTCCAGAAAGCTACTTTAAGGAGTGGAGCTTAAAGTGCAATACATTTTATCCTCCTCTAGATGGTGCTCTTGGGCAAAAACTCCAGATTTTGGCTTTACAAAAATTGACTAAAGGAAGTTTAACTTAATTTGAGCGAGATTTGAAATATGGTGAATTATTCATGCAAAAAAAAGTATGATTTTAGTGTTAATGAATCAAACACACCTTATTTTAAAAAGGCTTAGCAGTTTTAACTCTACTAATCACAACTCAAACCCCATAAAGTCTTCTTTTTTAGAGTGCAAAGTAGTCATGACAAACCTTTAAATTAAGTAATCAGAAAAATCTGTTAAAAACTGAGTAGATACGGTAACACATATAGAATGAGCTAATGTGTTTGTATAGTGTAATTAAATAAAACAGAACATTAATAAATGTAAATAAAACTGGCACTTTCAACTTGCAGTACTTAGACCCTCCACCAGAGGGTAATAAGAGAGGATTCAATACGGCTTGATTTGAGGGAAGTACTAATCCACTGAGAACAGGCCTGTAAGGTGTTAGATATTCAATTCATATCGTCGTCGTCGTCGTCTTCCTCCGCTTATCCGGGTCCGGGTTGCGGGGGCTTCATTCCAACTAGGGAGCTCCAGACTGTCCTCTCCCCAGCCACCTCCGCCAGCTCCTCCGGCAGGACGCCAAGGTGTTCCCAGACCAGACTGGAGATGTAACCTCTCCAACGTGTCCTGGGTCGACCCGGGGGCCTCCTGCCGGCAGGAGATAACCGAAACACCTCCCCAAGGAGGCGTCCAGGAGGCATCCTGACCAGAAGCCCAAACCACCTCAACTGGCTCCTTTCGATCCGGAGGAGCAGCGGTTCTACTCCGAGTCCCTCCCGAATGTCCGAGCTCCTCACCCTATCTCTAAGGCTGAGCCCGGCCACCCTACGGAGGAAACCCATTTCGGCCGCTTGTATCCACGATCTCGTTCTTTCGGTCATTACCCAAAGCTCATGACTATAGGTGAGGATTGGGACGTAGATCGACCGGTAAATCGAGAGCCTGGCTTTCTGGCTCAGCTCCCTCTTCACCACGACAGATCGGCTCAGCATCCGCATCACTGCAGACGCCGAACCAATCCACCTGTCGGTCTCCCGATCCCTCCTACCCTCACTCGTGAACAAGACCCCGAGATACTATCTGGTCTAAAATTTCAGAGGAGATACTTCCACGCTGTACTTGCCATGGGTCTATGAGCACCACACAAAATGAAAGCAGTGTCAGAGAACACCCTGATAAAATCATATCACTGCAGTTTATTTATATAATGTCAAATCGGGCAGCAGTAGCTCAACAGGTTGAGCGGGTTGTCCAGTAATCGGAAGGTTGCAGGTTCGATCCCGGCTCTGGACAGAGAATTCTGCTGTTGTGTCCTTGGGCAAGACACTTAACCCACCTTGCCTGTTGGTGGTGGTCGGAGGGTCCAGTGGCGCCTGTGCTCAGCAGCCTCGCCTCTCATCCGCACCAGTGTATGAATGTGTGTTTGAATGGATGAATGATACACTGTAGTGTAAAGCGCTTTGGAGTCCTTACTCTGAGAGGTGCTATACAAGTGCGGGTCATTTATCATTTAAATCATGACAAGCTATGCATTATATGGGATTTACATACTATTGTTTTACTTTTCTGCAGGAAACAAAGTTCTAACTCACAAATTCGACATGCAATTAAAGTCTCAGTTAAAGTTTTCGGTTTTCTCAGCCCTGCTTCCTTGTTATTTTCAGTTTTTGTATTCTGATCTGGATTTGCCTTTTTAGTTTGTATCTTACTGTGTGATTTCTTGTTTTATTATTATTTTTCCTGTAAATGCTACCTAACAGGATTTAAAGACACACTTGGCAGTTTTGCTTGCTTTTAGCACCCCCTAGTGTCTCTCTCTCTGTGCCTGTGTCTTTTTAACACCTTAATTTAACTGCTGTAATTTCTCCCCAGCCTTCATTGGATTATACAGGGGTGATTCATCACTAAATTAAACAAATCAGCTGTGTTCATGATCTAAAACATGCAGGAAACATGCTGGAACCAGACAGCAGCTATGTTAGCAAAAAAAAAAAAAAAAAATTAAGTCCGAACTGAGCGGTCCGCCTGTCTGGAGTTGCAATAGTAGTATTCTGGCCACAGAGGGCAGTGGGGGTCTGAGTGACATTTCATTAACCTAGTAAAGGGCCATTTTAGCACATACTGACTAGGGATGAGCCGGATACTCGTTTCAGACGAGTATCCGGTACGGATAAAACATTTTAGACGAGTATGTGCATGAAATGAGTAAAATTCGTAAATATCTGTAATCGTGCTGAAGGAAAATCCTCATTGGTTAACTGACTGTCTTCACGCTCTGTGATTGGCCAGTCAAATAGAGCGCCCGCCCCTCCCTTCACACAAAACTGCAGCCGGGAGCTCACAGCTCAGTCCGCGTCCGGTCCATCCACGCACACACACAGACAGTAACAGATCTCTCTGTGCTTGCTTCACTGTTCACGTTTCTTCAGTACTCCCTGTGTTTTCTTCAGTTTGCTTCTTTTTAAAGTTATTTAAAGTTACTTTTTTGTAACGTACGTGGTGCATTTGACAAGACAGAGCTGAAAACGGCTCGTGCTGCGTCAGTCACTGCCTCCGCTCCGGTTGGTTTTTTTTCCCTCTCTCTCTCCTCTTCCTCAGGATCCACTCCCTCTTTCCTATTCACACACTCTCTCTCTCTCTCTCTCTCTCTCCTCTTCCTCAGGATCCACTCCCTCTTTCCTATTCTCTCTCTCTCTCTCTCTCTCTCTCTCTCTGTCTCTCTCTCTCTCTCTCTCTCTCTGTCTCTCTCTCTCTCTCTTAATTCATGCACTTAAATAATAATGTTCTGGTTTTATTGAAAAACTTGTTCTGTAATAGTTCCTTTACTATTGTGATCAAAAACATTTAATCTCAACTCTGAGGCTGCTCTGTAAATAGTTTTCAAATAAACAATACACATGGCAACTTCTGATCAGACTTAAAATAACGTATTGATGTAAACCACACCCACTTCCGGGTTAGCCCACGCCCACTCCAAGTACAGATACACATACAGATAATTTAGATGGTTGAACAGATACAGATACAGATAGTGGTGTACTCGCTCATCCCTAGTACTGACTCATGAAAATAATTAAAAAATCTGCTAAATTTCCATCGTATGGCTTTAATGTCGCAGTATAGATGTAGTGTCCCTGAGCAAGACACTTATAACCCATACCACCTGTTAGTGGTGGTCAGAGGGACCGGTGGTGCCAGTGCATGGCAGCCTCACCTCTGTCAGTGAGCCCCAGGACAGCTGTGGGTACACTGTAGCTGTGTGTGCATGGACGAATGACTGATTGTGTTGTAAAGAACCTTGGGGGGCTCTAGGACGTTAGAAAGTACTATATCAAATACAGGCCATTTACCATAAAAAACACAATTTCAAGTTGAATGAATAATTTTTAAAGCCTTCAAGTAGTTTTTTTAGTATAATTTTATTACTGGGACACTGATGAGACGACCTGTGAGGTTTATAAGAGCTGGGATGTCATGAACCCTAGTATCTGATACAACTACAGCAATCACAGTCTGTTCCCAGCACTTAGCAGACAGGTGGGGGACTCTATATGAGGCCCTATTTAAAAATCACAGCTTCTCACTGCAGCATAAGGTTGTGTCACATGCTTGTTTCTGCCCTGCGATAAGGGCAGAAACCATGCATGACAGCGTGGATATGAGAGGCTGATTATCTGCTGCTGGACAGACTCGATGATAGATGGCGGTGTGGTCGAGGGG